CTTGATTCTCCTTTCTTTAATCATTTCTTGGGAAATACATCTACTTTGCCGCTAGACAAAGTGGCGCTGAATCGTGAACATCTGTTTGATAAATTAACTTAAGCCAGCTATTAGCATTCCAGTTCCGTTTTTCTTTCTTCTTCTACAACATTCCACCGTGAATATAGTTGGCTTGTCAAATAAGCAAATTTTGTTTATTATTTAAACAGGCAATAAATACTTGCTCACCCTCGGGCATTGCTGCCGGATAGTTGTTGAATAGGGCATAAATTTCGGGTATGCCAAAGTCCGTAATCTTTAGCACCCAGCGGCCGTCAATAACGCAGTTTCTGGACTTCAGCCTCCCGTGGACTCGGAGGTTTGAGTTGTGAATGAATTTCATGCCCTGAAATGAACAACACAAATATAGAGGAAAGTGCCCTTAGCTTTACGATTTTGGAAACTGGACAGTCCTACGGGAATGCAAAATATATCATAACCTTTAAAATAATTTGAACAAATTTTTTTATATATTTCTTCCGAAAGATGGGATAAGGTTTGTCGTTGGAAGATGCCAGCCGCAAAATAGTCACTGCCTATGGACGATTTTCTTGCAGGAGGATAAGATCGCAGATCTAAATTTGCATAGTAACATCAGAGTACTGCACATCATCCTAGCGTAACTATAATCACAGCGCCCTAAAAATGCAGCATGCAAATTTTGAAGACCACAAATTTGGCAAAAAAGAACCTTTCCAGGCTCAACAATCCAAAGTGGACGCACCCGAATCAGGTCGGTCAAAAGAGACAACTTGAATTCCCAGTCGAGGTTAATGCTTTTCTTCGCAATTATATCCTGAAAGAAATACAAAAATGACTATGTGAGCCACATTTTAGAGCCTATGTGCTGACTGACTAAAATAAGGAATCGGGGTAAAATGAAATATGTGAACAGGACGCACTACTCTTTTAAGTAACAAAGTATTAAATTGGATACCATCTGTGGGCCACAGAAATAAAATGTTCTTCATTTTCAGCGCTAACGATTACATTTTTGACACAGACTGCTGAACCTTAACAAGACTGAAGGTTCGATATTGAAAATTAGCATTATTTAAAATGTGTTGACTTGGGAACGTCAGCGAAGGTAAACGCCTGAAAGAGGCACCATAAGAAGACCGGGAATTAAGTTTTTGATCGACCTTCTATGAGTGCTTATTGCACACACACCCAACTGATCGCTTGATTTACATTTATATGGCGAAAAATTGAGAGAAATTTTGAACGCAAATACTCAACAAGCAATTGCATTCTTCCAATTTGGTTGTACTGGAGCCTTCTGTTTGACTTCGTCGGTTTGAATCCTGCCTAGGTCAGCGAGGTTTTCAGTGCAGCGTCAAATGAATTGGGCACTATTTATAACTCGTTCATTCAGCTGACAGTTCATTCCGCCCGCTGGGCTCCAGTAAATCTTGTAACATCGTCAGGACGCAAGACAACGTTGCTGCCTACCCTCGTGCCTAGTGCGTGATTCACTACTGATATCAAAATGGTCTGTCCACATCAAAAGTCGTCTCCCTTAATTGCTCTGCCGCATTGCTGAAAGAAGCAAACAGGCTAGTTCTAGGAGGCATTTACAAAGGAGAAGATGCGATTGCTGAGCCAAGAAACTTATTCATCTGACGTTTCTGAAGGATGCACTGTCATGGCAGGAAACGCTTGGAGTGCTTTATCCGATCTGGTGCAATCGACTGGCCAGAGAAACCGGAAGATTACTCCGCCTGCGAATGGTGGAGAACGCAGCAGCGGTGAGGAAGAGGAGGAGGAAGAGGAAAGACGCTGGATGTCAGATTTCAGCTCAGTTGACCAAAAGCAGCTATACTTCCTAGTTTAATGAGGCTAAAATCCTCGCAGGAGATACAAATCGCGTGAGCCACGACCTACTCGTGTCGTGTTTCCTACATCCGCAGTCCACCAACGAGCGCACTGTCCTACTGTTCATATATTCTGTACCGACAGTTCTTCTGAGTAGGGAAATCAATCGCATGCGGAGGACACTTGAGACCAAAAGTTTCAATGAGAGCTGGTCAAATTACCATTTAATTTACCATGCGAAATTTCAACACGGATAATAAAGTATCGGCAGTTAACAATTCGGAAGCGGACTAAAATGTTACAGTCGCATTCATTACGACTCCCAGCGGTGGTAATAAGAGCTGCTAATTGAAGTACCAATGAGGTCGCGTGGCTAGTACGGGCTAAAATTTTGCAAACATAGTGCCTCAAGTACCCTCATCTGCGACTTTCTCTGGTGCAGGGTCCGAGCGAAAAGCTGCAAACTGCCGTGTAATTATCACGTCAACTTCCAACACGGAAGATGAAGTCGTGAAAATAATCCCAGCTTTCCAAAAAAATTGAAATAATGTTTTCCCGGAAGAAATTTCAAGAAAGCAAAGATCACGAGATTAGCAGGATTTATTGACGTCATATAATTTCGCGACCTCTTATTCAACTGTAAATGGTTGTTGCCTCTTAATTAGATTATTAACTGTGCAATTAAGTGTCGGCCTAGAAGGGTGAAACCGTGTATCTACGATTTTGTGGACTGACTGCTACCCTGTCCTCCGTCCCTAACCCCCCTCCCCCATTGTTTATCCACATCCCACAGGATTTCATGCCCATAAACTGCCATGCTGTGACAATTACCGCCCACCTCCTCTACCCCCTCACCAGGCAAGGCAACGACTGAGCCTGCATCAGCTATATTTGCCCCACTGTTTAGGGACACCAGCTGGGCTAAAGTCCAACGCGTTGAGAACGCTGCTATCCGCGTCGCCACGGGCTGTGTTAACATGACCAATGTAGACCACCTCTATCAGGAAAC